GGGAAACAAAGCAGTGGTCAGAGAAATTTTAGAATTTCACTGAGATTTCAGTAGCAATAGGAATCTAACCTGTCGAGGTGCAAGAGAGTGGACTGGTGTCTTCTGCAGCTGTTTCGTCAAGGTTTGCAGGTTCCACTTGGCACATCTTGAGAAGTCAGTTGTGTTACTGTCTTCCGAGTTAATGATAGTTGCATATTCACATAGCCAATACTGTGATGAAAATTAAAGTAAATAAAATTTTCTAAATGCACAAATTTGTAAGTATGATAACTGCAAATTTGAATGGATATTATACTTACCAGCAATGCAATGACACACCCCGTAACTTTTTCTGAAGTTTTGTGCAATGTCATGATAGAATCAATTAATGTTGATGTGATTGCTTCCGACCAATCATACTGTTTCATTGATTCAAGAGGTTCCACATACTTTATAAAAACCCAACCTATCGAATTCCTACTTGTTGCAAAAAATAGGGTGAGACACAAGTACAATGTAACAATGATTGCTACACCTTTTAAGTCAGTTGGTTGCTTGCCTTTCATTGCTTTGACCAAGGCATTTTTAAGAACAGGACCAGTGAGCCTTGTGTCCTTTTGGAATCTTCTCCTAAGGAATTCAGATTTTGGCTTTTTAGAGTATCTTAATGGCATGGCTCCTTTACCTCCTTCCAAACCAAAAATCAAGGTCATGTCATTTGTTGTAAAAGTCAGGTTCTTCTTACCAACTGTGAATGCTTTTGTTTTTTCATTGTAACATTGGATTATGGCAACTACATCATCAACGGATTTCCTAGATTTCTTTGGATCCATCCTTCCAGTGGTTAGAGCTTGGATCAAATACCAAAATGAGGTCTTTTGAAGCTCTAGAAGTTGTTTTGAATTGAATTTAAGTGTTTGAAAAAAGGAGACGACAGATGAGAGGTTGAATCGGAATTGAATGCTGTAGTGAGCTCTCTTTCTGTGGAGTTTAATAGGTTTTTTCCCCCTTGAGCTTGAGTCTTTTGAAGTTGAGGTACTCATCTAGATGCTAGTTGCTTCATCACCTTGGACTTGTGTGTTTTGGAGGAGTTTGTGGTGTTTTGCTGCTGGTTTTTTATCTTAGATGATAAGAAGACTGAGAGAGTTTCTGTTTTTTGCTTGGTGTTTCCGGTGTTTCGTTGCTTTTACGCTTTGCCATATCTAGACAATGATTAAAACATAAAGATGTCAACATTAAATCCTAGAGAAAATTGGACGTGTCAGAGAAAATTACAGATAAGGGAGAAAATTACAGAAAAGAGAAAATTGGAGATGCTAGAGAAAATTACAGATGAGGGAAAATTACAGAAAACTGGACATGCTAGAGAAAATTTGACATGCCAGAGAAAATTTGACATGCCAGAGAAAATTGGACATTAAAAATTAAATGTCAGAGAAAATCAGCACATCATTATAAACATGGAAGAGAAATTTTCAATAATTGTTAAAATTACATATAGAAGTAAACATACCAGAGGAAATAAATGATAGAAAAAAGTAAACATGGCAAGCGAAAGAAAATTTCCATTTCACAATTAGCAAGATAAAATAAACAAAGTAATGTAAACATGCCACTGAGAATTACACCATATTGAAACCAAGAATTGAACAAAATAAACATACTAGAGAAAAATACACATTCCGGAGAAAATTACACATTCTTGAGGAAATTTCCATTCCAGAGATAATTTCAATTCATAATATTAAAATGCAAGAGAAATTTACATACACAATCAGAGAAAATTAACCATGATAGAGACACTCAAGAGAGGAAAGTGGTGTGATGTGGTCAGTGAAAATTATAAATACCAGAGAAACTTAGACAGGGGCAAGAGAGCAATAGACATTGCAGAGAAAAATACATATTCCAGAGAAATTTACAAAGCAGAGAAATTCATAGACAAAATCACAGAAACATGTTCAAGAATAAGATCAAAATTCAGAGAAATAACTTTTTCTCAAAATAGGCATGGCAGAGAAAATTCAAAGAAGAAACGTTCATTCCAGTCCATAATATTAAAATTCCAGAGAAAATTAGAAATGACAGATACACACAAGGGAGGAAAGTGATGTGATGTGGTCAGAGAAAATTATAAATACCAGAGAAACTTAGACAGGGGCAAGAGAGTAATAGACATTGCAGAGAAAAATACGTATTACAGAGAAATTTACAGAGCAGGGAAATTTATAGACAAAATTACATAAACATGTTAAAGAATAAGATAAAAACACAGAAAATTATTTTTCTGAAAATAAACATGCCAGAGAAAATTGAAAGAAGAAACATACATCAAGCAAAAATCAGAGAAATTCAAATGCCAGAGAAATTTACAGATAAAATCACACAATCATGTTCAAGAATAAGTTCAAAACACACAGAAATAGCTTTTTCCAAATTCAGATAGCTTTTTATTACGAAATTGAAACCCTAATTTATGGAGGGTTAATATAAAATGCTATTAACTGTGTTTCTAGAGAAAATCTAGTTGTATTGTAGAAAAACTGACCAGAGTTAGGATGAAACTTGAATGACGAGCTGATATGGCCCGATATGAAGATGTGACGTGACGTGACGAAGATGGACTGAGATGATGATGAGCAGTGAAAACGAAGCTTTAACCTAGGTCAGAGAAATTTGTGAGGAATGAATGGGAATGATTTTTGGAGAAGATAACGAAATTCTAATGTCGATGGTAAAGATGATGTTGAAACCCTAATTCTGCTGTTCTCCTGTTCATGAAGATGCTGGATGTTTGGAATGGAACTCAGACGTCGAAATGAGTTTCGTTTCTGTGTTGATTTTGGCAAGAGTATTTTGATCCACAAAATAATTAAAAACGCGCGCCAAGTTGTTCAGGGACCTGATGCATCACTATTTTTTTAGGTGTCCTTTATCCTCTAAATTATTATTATTAGGGACCTTAAAAAAAATTCCCCTATTTTTTATTAGGTTCTTTACTCAACAAAAGTCTATTTTGCAAAATAGGTAAAAAGTTGATTTTTTGAACTTTTAGTTTTTTTTTCTTTTTTTTGAAAAACATGCAAAAAGTAAAGAAGCGATATGACTAAAAAAAAAATCAAAATTATAATAAATTGACTTCTAACCTAGTTGTGAAAAGAGGTCAAAGTAATGAACAAAATCATGTTTTGCATTATTATATTAATCTTAAAAAAAATAATTAATTAATATATTCCCAAAATGAAATTTCCATAAATGTAAATTGCCGTATGAGAGAGGTAGCCCACCAACCTGCATGAATTGGTAATCTTTTGCCCAAGATCAACATTTCTGAACCAACTCTCTACCAACTTCACGTGACAACATTTTTATTTATTTTTTTATTTTTTTTTTTTTTGTATATCACCCAACATTAAACCTCAATTTCAAGAAGAAAATAATAGGAATAATAAAAATATATATATATATTACTGTCAGAAAGTGTCCAAATTTTGCTTCATCCTTTCCATAAATTAAGGTGTATTATATTTAGAATTAAAATCTTTGTTATTTTTATTATGTAAATAATTTGGAGGACTTCAACTTTTGCACATAAAACTCCTAACCTTGTATTAATATGTAGGAATTCTTGGTCAAAATATTACCCATGCATTACTCTTTTAATGGAGAAGTTATTTCATAGGACCGTGATAATTGGGAGCCTCATGGTACTGAATAATTTTTCGTTTTAAAAGTCCAATTTCATTCAATATTTTGATTTCAAGGATTTTGAAATTTTTGTAGTTTAAGATCCAAGTGGAGTCAAAATTCATGAGAACTAAAACGAAACAATAATTTACCAAATTGTAAAAACAGTGTTGTTATTTGTTAAAAATGTCTCATATTATTTTCATTTTTTTTTTCTTGTATTGTATCCCAAAAGCATTTGTCAAGGCCCTTCATTTTTTCTCATAATGTTCACCGCAATTGCTGGGTCTAAAAATTAAAAACTGCTCACATGAAAGAACCAATTGATTTAGATATTTAAAATTCTACCAACATGTACGGTTTTTATTAATGAATGACTTTTATTCATTTTCTTCATTCATAAATTACATTGCTTTGCTTTGCACACTCGTCTATGTGCGCATGCCATTAGTCAAATATTTTGCAGATATAATTTATGCATGCCATTTATAAAGAATTATTTGTTAAGGCAAAAATCTGGTTTCCAAAACCACAAGTCAATGACACCACTGGCATTACTAAATACAATATGATCTGTATATGTGTCTAAAACCAAGTTAACCCTTAAAGAGAATAGCTTGGTGGGTGGGATATATATATATATATATATATATATTATGACATGATAAAATAATTCGAGGGAGGATTGCATGTCACATGGGGCTCTTTCAAAAAATTCAAGAGAAAGAAAAAGGAAATCAATTTGTGTGAGAAATTAATTCAACCCATACACTAAAAATATTATCGTTATTTAAAAGTAATATTACACCTAAACAAATTTATTACACCTGCAGTAATAAATATAAGTGAGATTTATTGTTGTGTGTCCCTAATTTAATTTGAAGAATGCTAGAAAAATCTTAAAAATTTTATCAAATGTCTCACGTGGGTGTGAAATTCATATGAAACTCATATAGTGTGAGTCCCACGGTCATGTGAGATATTTTGTAAAAAATTTGATAAAATTTTTAGGATCTCTAATATTTTTCATTTAATTTTAATTTTAATTTTGAATAGGAGAATCTTAAAATAAAATCTGTTTTATGTATGGTATTTTTTTACGTGTCCCTTCAAGGCGCTTGGGTTTATAGATCGGTTGCTTGGTAGGATTAGGGACAACCACATCTTTGGACACATTTGGGTATGGAAATTCATAAAATTTAGTTAATACCTTAACTTTACCAAGCAACAGCGACACTGCACCATTCATCACGGTTGTCTAAATTAAATGTTAAATTAAATGAGAAAAAAAGCTAGATATATCTCATCTATATAAACTGAAAGGAAAACTACACAATACATGCATAAGTGCATTTAACAATTATATATTAACTTGTCAAGTTCATTCCTTCACTCATTCAAGCTCAAAATATATACACAATGCTGTTTTCCATTATGAAACTAGTTTTTTCTCAATATTCTTTGCTCTCTTCTTCTTCTGCAAATGCTGCTGTGTTGTTGTGTGTTCTGGTAATGATTTGCAGAAGCAGTGAAGCAGTGGTGAATCTGCCTAAGAATGTGACAGTTCCGGCGGTGATAGCGTTTGGGGATTCCATAGTGGATCAAGGAAACAACAACGTTATCGAAACAATAATTAAGTGCAATTTCCCACCTTATGGGAAGGATTTTGTGGGTGGACCTACTGGCAGGTTTTGCAATGGCAAAACCCCTGCAGACCTCATAGGTACCCCCCTCCCTCTCTCTCTGTTCCTGATGGCTCGGTCTATGTCCTCATTTTGGTTACAGTTGTTCTATTTGCACAAAAATTAATCACAGAACGAGATTTTTTTTTCTTTCTTTTGGATATCCATGACATTTGCTAATCATGAATGGCTTCATTTTTAGATGTCTTCATTATTTTAGTGAAAATAATTTTAAACTTGTTTTTTTTTTCCAAAGAATGAGAAAGAAAAAACAACTAAAGAAAACCCATTAGAAAACAATAATTAATCTTTGTCAAACGTTTTCATTTTTTTATTTTTATTTTTTATCTTCAACTGAGAGTGTACGATAGTAAATATGTTTATAAAGCATTATCCTTGTTTTAGAAGTTAATATTAAAGGAAGTCCTTTTCTCTCTGTGTTTTTCCCTTTTTTGATCAAAGAAATTGATTTGAAGATTTGAGCTTTTAACCTTGAACTTATAAGAAAATACCTAAATCAATAAACTACTGATATTACTTGAGTTTAAATAGTGAAATATATATATTTATTTTTATTAGCTAATTCATTATATATGTAAAAAAAAAATTGGACGGACTTGAAAGTTTAGTTTAGGTCATACCTTCGGACCTAGTTTGACCGAATGTTGTTTTAAATGTATAGGGCAATTCTAGCAGTGGCCCCACATGTGTACACTTTTATTGTGAGGGAAAATTTTAGAATAATTTTGGAATATTATGTGCCTCAACTTCTTAATTAATTATTACTTATTATGTTTCTTATATTTTTCAATTATCTAATATAGGTTTCGTTTGGGAAGTTGTTATTTTAGTAGGCTATTTTAGTTTTTGGCTATTTTAGTATGCTAAAATTTTTGTGTTTGGAAAGATGATTAGATTTTTTTGTGATTGGATATGATGTTTGTGAGAGAAAAATGAAATAATTATGGATTTGATGTGATATATTATCTTATTAGCTAATAAGCCACTTACTCATTTCTTCTACCAATCATAATATCATGAAGAGGAGTGATGGAGACCCCCTCCAATTACCACCTCCACCACCCCCCACACACGTGGCAGGTGGTGATTGGAGGACAAGGGAAACAAAAAAAAAAAAGAAAAAAAATCTAACTAATGAGAGAGAGATGGGGTCAAAGGGAGTGGAAAAAAAAGGGGGTCTTACACATTTTTGTATCATGAAATATAATGTGTCTATACTCCGAAACTAATTGATGATGCGATTCGATGTAATTTATAATCGTGGGTAGATGAGGGCATTGTGTTGAAATTGTGGAAAATAATAACTGCAATTTTGAATAATTTAGGAGTTTTTGGTAACAAGTCTCTCAATTTCAAACTTTAAGAACAAAATTCAAAATATTTAAAAAATATGATAATAATATCATTAACTTCTATTATTTTCTTACACTATCACAACTACCACCACCACCATCGACCATTATTTTCCACCACTGAGCACTACCAACCGCCGTTGATCACTCTAGCCGGTGACAATTTTTCGACGACTACTATCGGTCGATGGTCGTCAAAAAATTGTTGGCAAGATTTTTCAATGACAGTAAAATTTTACTCTATTAGACAGTAAAATTTACTCTGTTAATTTGGACAGTGAAATTTTACTGTTTACTTTAAACATATAAATAGTGAATTTTTGCCATTGTTATCACTAACCACCACATTGACTATAATTATTACCATTATTCATATAACTATCAAATGAGAAATCAGTTAGGACATTCAATTAATGACGTTAACAATAAAATTTTACTATTTCACTCTTGATCGTACTAAAATAACATTTTCATTTGAAATCTCAAAATCAATATTCAAACTGATAATGACAACAAAAAAAAAAGCACTAAAATAAAAATATATACATATAGAGAGAAAAAGAAAAAGATAGAGAAAAAGAGAGTACATATATTACCTCAAATCTAGTTCAAACCAGAGTAAAATTTTACTATTTGAAAAATAGAGTATCATGAGAAAACAAAGAGAAAAAGATGGAGAGAATATAGATCTGAGATGATAAATCTCATATTTGACCTCAGATCTGAGGTCCTGGAGGCGAAGGATGACGATCGTGGTTGTCGGTGGTACAGTGACATTGAATGGCGCCGGTGCTTGAAATAATAGTGGTGGTTGTGGTGGTAACGAACGGCGCCGGTAGTTGAGATGGTGGTAGTGGAAACGATGGATATGGTGGAAATAGTAGTGGTGGCAGTATAGATAGTGGTGGTGTGGTCTTAGAAGAGAGAGAGAGAGAGAGAGATAGAAAGAGAGAGTTGAGACAAACTGAGGGAAAGAAAGAGGAAAAAGATAGAGTGAGTATGTATCTGTGAAGAGGCAAATTTGTCACACAAAATATAAATTTGAAAATTTTTGCCCTTCCAACAAGATTTCTTTATTTTTGAGGTGTTTATGAGCCAAAAAAAAAAAAATTAGAGTTTGTCATTTTCAAGAAAAACGGTTTCTAGGAGGAGCTATGGCCAAAAAGCTCAATAATTTATTAATGATATTATTATTATTTAAAGATTAGATTCATATAAGATATTATAATAAAATATAATCATAATAATGAAGATAAAATACAACACAAAATACAAAGCTCTCAAAGTGAGAGGGAAAGTCTCAATTAATACACGAGGAATAAGACCTACACACAAGTAAATAAATTCAAATTATTGACCTCCTAATGAGGTACAGGAGTTCTGGCTAATTGAACTAACCTTGTTGGTTATTAATGATATTATTCAGGTCCACTAAAACAATATTTTGGATAATAATAACCAAAAAAAAAAAAAATCATACCGGAAATATATACGGATCATAACAAGAATTATGTGGTAATATCAATTTTATAAATAAAAGTAAGCTTCGTGTATATTTTGTTTAAAATAAAAGGTAAGTCATATCATTTTACATAATTTTTTATTTCTATTTGATTATTATAATGGCTTCTTTTCTTTTTTTTTCTTGTTTTTACCTCTGCTTGATGGTGAGTTTTATGTTTGCTTGTTTTCTCTTTTCTATTTTTTTTTAAATTAAAAAAAAAAATTAGATTCTTAAATTTTACTCAATGAGATTAATAGATTAATTAAAAAGACCAAAAAAAGAAGCCCAAATAGGAAATTTTTTGAGCTTATTTTGGCATTTTAAATTAGAAAAATAATATACAAATCTACTTTTTAAGCTCATATTCTAGATTCAATGACGCGTAAGTGATATAATTGGTTGATAATTAAAAAAAATATGAGAGAGAATAACCTTAGAGAACTTAATTGATTGATATATCATTGGATTTGAAAAGTGTGTCTACTTTTGTTACTTGAACATCAATGCTCTATAAATTATTATTATTTTTGAAATTTTACAAAAAAAAAAAAAAAAATTGAAAAAAATTAAAAAATATATATATATAATTTTGAAAACAAAAATCATTAGAGGAAAAAAAATTCAAAACGTTCAAAAAAAAAAAAAAAAAAAAAAAAAAGTTTTTTGGGTTTTTCCCACTCTTTTTTGTTTAAATATAACAAGAAATAACGACATTGTTATCAAATTCTTGAAAAAAAAAAAAAAAGTAAATTACAAAAACAGCTTTTAAAGTTTCATTAAAATACGAATCGCACTCTGTGATTTTAATGAGGGTGTTTGGTGGGGCTTTTTTTAGCCAACTTTTGGCTTCTGGCTTTTAAAAAGTTATTTTGGACTGTTTGGTAAACTTATTTCAAACAGTCTCTGATTCTAATAACCTATTTTAAGTCAAAAAAGCTGGTTCTGAGAAGCTGCTCACCCCTTACTTCTGATTATCAGCTTCTACTGTGGACATGTTAATTCACGGTTATACTCTTAAATTTTTTTATTTTTTATTTTTTTAAAAATAGAAAAAGACCCAAATGGACTATAAAATGTTATTATTTTTTTATGAGAAATATAGACAAATAGTGAATAATAAAAAATAAAAATTAATTGAAAAAGTTACTTCACAGTTTATTTAACAAACACTACTCACCAACTTAAATCTATAATCCAACAGTTATACCAAACAGATTAACAGCTTCTGATTAAAGTCATAATCTATAATCTGTTAAGTTACAATCTATAATCTGTTTTAACAGCTACACCAAACAGCACCAATATTCCACCCTTTGAGATTTCTAATTTCATTACAAATTGTCATTTTATTAATCAATCATCAAGTCAATTAATAGTTTTTAATTATATTAAAAATATGAATAATTTAGGTAATTTTATTATTGTATATGAGAGCAATTATGAATTTCATTTTTTCAGTTAATTTTGTTAAATAAACAATTTTAATAACGAAGTATTTATAATTTTTCAAACCATAGGAGACAATCTATATTTTAAACAAACTTCAAAGGTATATTTGTAATTTACCCACAAAAAAAAAACTTCTTAAGAACTACAAGGATTTGAACATTCAGGCCACAAAAAAATAACTAAAGCATCAAAGCCCAACTGGTCTCGGCTTCGAAGCCCAAAACCAGCACTTTGGGCCTTGGAAATCCGTTTCTTAGATCTCAAAAGGAAATGATTTTTTTTTTTTTTTGGAGAATTACCTGGCATGATGTCAGTAAAAAATATTTACAAAAACAAAAAAAGATATTATAAATATTAATAATTAATATCATAATTTTTTTTTATTAATACGTAATTCCTTTTTGAAAATTACCCTGAATAATAATTTTCTCTTTTTTCTCCCCTCAAAAACGAGTATTGTATTTTCACATTTTAAAATTTTTACTTTTGGTTAAAAATTTAATACCAAACGAAAACTCATGATTATGAATTTCCAAATAAGGCGGGTAGTTGGCCAGTTAGTTCATATAGTTGTCCATTGGGACAGTGAGAAAGCTTGAGGATCAGATTTTGAGTTTGCAGAGCAATTGCGATTCTTTCGTTTAATTTAATTTATTAACCTATTAACATTTTATCAATATGAGAAAAAAAAAAAAAAAATCACCCCCATTTCCCCCCCCCCAAAAACTTTTTTATAAAAAAAATCCACTGAATACAACAAAATAAGATAAACTGAATTTTTATTTTTTGTATTTGGTGAATTTTAAAAAAAATACATACTTCTTAAGTATATCTAGATTAGGTGTATCTAAAAAATAAAAAAATAAAAAATTACTTAAAATATTAAAAAATCAGTAAAAATAAAAAAATCCAAAGATGCTTATGAGATGCCTAGAGATGCTATCAAAGTAGAAGAGTTTTAATTCCTATATATATATATTTTATGTTTTACCATTCATATATTAATTTATTTTTAGTTCTTAATTAAAATCAGTCAGTTCTATCAATGTCGGATCAACTAAATTTGTTCAAAGAATACATTGGGAAGGTGAAAGGGATGGTTGGAGAAGAGAGAACAAATTTCATATTGAGTAACAGCTTTTATTTAGTTTTATCTGGAAGCGATGACCTTGCCAACACGTACTTTACAGTTGGCATCAGAAAATTGCAGTACGATATTAATTCTTACACTGATCTTGTCGTCAATTATGCTTCGGATTTTGTTAAGGTATTCCCTTTTCTTATTTTCTTTTCTTTTTTAGAGAAGTTGGTAATCTAACATTTTCATGACCTTATGTACATTCATCTTTTGGTTACAACTTATAAGATGTGTTATTTATAGTTTTAAGTAGTTTTATTCGTACTCACACACCCTTTATTGCTAATGATAATCAAAAGCATGAAAATTGAGAATTTAAAGTTGTGATATATATATATATATATATATATTTTGAAGGAACTGTATCAACTGGGGGCAAAAAGGATTGGTTTATTCGGGGCAGCACCAATAGGATGCTTGCCGTCACAGAGAACACTAGCAGGGGGAGAATTGAGAGTGTGTTCTGAGATATACAACCAGGCTGCTCAGTTGATGAACTCCAAGCTCTCTTCTGCTATTACTTCCTACAACAACAATCTCAATGATCCTAAAGCCAGGATTGTCTACACTGATATTTACAATCCTCTGCTTAATATCATTCTAAATCATGACAAATATGGTAATCCCCATATACTATTTGCTGCTTTCTTTCTAAAATGTTTGTGTTAATGTGGATTCTACTGTCTTTGCGTCTAATGGTAAGATAAATATGCAAGTGAAATCCATGCCTTTGTATCTAGTTAATATAAACACATATACACACAAGAATTTATTTGACTATAAAGCTTCCACAATCCAAGAATGGTAGACGAATCTCACTATGAAAGTGGAGAATATAATGAGTTGGCTCTCTTATTACAACCTGTTTACAAATTCTCTGAAGACCATGAAATCTTGAAACCCCATAATAACCCATTATATATAAGGATCCAACTAATACTATAAGTACAATTCAAATTAAATTCAAGACAAACCAATAAGAAACCACACAACAGAAGTATATAACATGCCTGGTTTGATCTAGTAATGTTTTTTTGTTTCCAAATTCCAACTAATGTTATTATATTTTTCAAATATTTCAGGGTTTTCTGTTGCGGATAAAGGGTGTTGTGGGACAGGGAATTTAGAGGTGAGCATACTGTGTAACAAATTGACTGATCCATGTCCAAATGACTCCGTATACGTATTCTGGGACAGCTACCATCCCACAGAGAGGTGCTATAGAGTACTCGTCAATCAGATCCTTCAGTCTAGTCTCAACAAATTCTTCTGATCCTGCCCCATTTGCCTCTCGTGATTTCCCTCAAATCAAATCTTCTCTCTTCACTTACTATCGAACTGTCAAAGTAATTGAAATAACACACATACATAGTGTATGATCATTTCATGATGTATTGTTTGTGCATATTCCTTGACTTATATTTTGGTACTGATATGTGAGGTTTTTATTGTGGGTTTAGTCAAGCTGGTTTTGATTGTATATGTGAGAGAGCTAGGCATGGATTGGATCCTCCAACAAAATGTTGCATTTTTACAGAGTTTTGTTAAGCTCCTTGGCTTCGTCTTGTGTTGTGTTGTGTTTTTTATTTTTTTATTTTTTTTATGCATTTTAGTGCTTGTTCTGAGTTTAATACCCTGATTGAATGCAAAACTCAGTTTTACACTTGCAAGTATTATAAATATTGGGTAAGCGGTGAAGTTGATTACTTCGATGTCATGTTAAATTGTAAACCATTTTCTAATTTTTGCATGCCATTTGTAGTGCAAAATGCCAAAACTCATCATCTAATCTTTTCAATCACTGACCTCTATAAAATACATCATACCTTTGATAGCAAGGGCAAAATTTAACAACTTCAATGACATCTCCATTGAAGTACTGAATTGCTATAACATAATTGTGACAGTTCAAAACAACAATTTTATTGAATCCAATGCATCAAGATCCAAAATAACTATTGTCCTGTATAGTTTGAATACAAAAAAGTCTTCTGCTTTTGTGGGGACATATTTTTTGGATAGTCCACGTGGCCGAAGTTGTTAGCCGAGGTGCTACGTGGGCAGATCAGCTTGCCGAGATATTTGGGGCACTGCCAAGGTATTCTGCGGCAATACCGGAATCCGAGATAAAGCGGATGAGGGACAAGAGTCCTAGAATGGGAGAAGACTTCAGTTTGGGTAAAGATAAGACTCTTAGAGAGTTTATCCTAATCCTACTAGGAGTTCAAGGTTAGCAGTAATCCTAAGTCTATTGAAGTTAGGCTTCTATTGGGAATAGGATTGAGTTTGCTATAAAAGAGAGGCACCCCCATGGGTCTAAGGTATACTTTTGATATTTTGTCTAGTGAGTTAAGCACTATTGGTTATCTTTGAGAGATATTAAGTACTGACTTGATCCTCGGAGTGCCCTCGGGTGGACAAGCCACCGCCGAAATCTTCTCTTTCTATTGCAGGTCAGTCAAGTGCCATCTATTCTGCTAGTGCTCTCCAGCTGAATACTGAGTTGGCAGTGTGATCGAAAATTCACTCACACAATTTAGCGCCGTCTATGCGAACGAAAGGAGAATAGATGGCCAACGACAGACCGAAAGAGAAGGTTGGGGACGACACCCCTACTGAGAATAGGAAACATATTGACCTTGGCGTTGAAGAAGACAACTACAACGAAGAAACTCGTGATAAGAATCACGAAGAATAGGACATCGGCCAGGAGGGCGACGTGCCGAAGAAATCAGACCGAAGCGAGTATTATAACGAGGACGACCTCTAGGTATGGAAAGAAAGATGCGTACGAAGGGCCGACGAGATGAAGGGAATGGAGAACAAATTGGCAGACCTGCAAACGGTTGTCAATTTTATGATACAGAATAACGTTATGCAGCTACTGTTCCCGTCACAAGATACGTCGATTCCAGCAGCCAAGAAAGATGCCTAGACAGGGGGGCAGAAGACAACTCCTATGACTCCTCAGCACGATAGGACCAAAGAACATTCTCACCGGCCTTCAAGGGAGGTCAGACGAGGAAAATCAAGAAAGGGAGATTCACAAAGGACACATTGTACTAAGGAAGCTGACTCCAAAGAACATCGGCATGTTCAAGGGAAGGAACTTTGTTTCGACGTGACCAATGGAGGGAGGTCCAAAAGGACTCGCAATGACACAGAAAGTAGTGCACCAAAGAGGCTGAAATCCGGAGATAGCCGAGCTCCTGGACAAACCAAGGAGGATCTGAGGGATTACCTCCAGAGAAAGCGACAAGATGCCGAGGTGACCTCACCTTTCAAGCCGAGGACACCGTTCTCGATAGAATTGGACAAATTTGAGGCCCCAAAAAGGTTCAGTATGCCAAGGTTCCAGATATACGATGGGAAGTCGGACCCCAACTTTCACGTCGGATTATACCTAAACGCGATGGCGTTATACACTAGGAACGAGTCGTTGCTCTGCAAAGTGTTCCCCTCATCATTCGGGGAAGTTGCATCGGACTGGTTTCACAAGTTGCCAAAAGGAATTGTGAAAACCTGGGAAGGCCTAACCGAGATGTTTGTAGCCAGGTTCGTGACAAACAAGCTACAACCATTGAGGGTAGACGCCCTAATGGCCCTGAAGATCGGCGAGGATGAAAGCCGAAAGGCCTATGCCAAAAGGTATTATGAGGTATTCAACCGAATACCAGGATGCAACCAAGAGGTGGCGGTCATGTCGTTTAAAAATGGCTTGAAAGATGACTGCCTGCTTCAAAAATCACTGGCAAAGACATTGCCGAAAAGCATGTAGGAGCTGATGGCCAGAATAGAAAAGTATGCTAGAGCCGAGGAAGACACGCCGGGGACAAAGGCGTCCAAACAAGAGAAGAAAAATGGTTCACCGAAGCAAAGCCTAGATAATACTGGACACGAGAAGACAAGAGCCTAGCCCAAGTGAGCAGATCCCAGATTCCAGATCTGGAATCCCAGATCCCAGAAGACAAGATATCGGCTTAGATGATTAAGTCCGAGAAGAGAAGAGCTTGGCCTAAGTTAAAGAATTTTTTTTCTACAAAGGAGTATGTGGAAGCCATGTAAAGGGTAGATCTGCTGCCCAAAGAGCAATATCAAGGTCAAAGCCACGTGCCTAATGAGAACCCAAGTGGAACTTAAGTTCACATTAGGGGGCAAAGGACTAAAGAATGATGCTTGGGAGTTGGAATTTCACAAGCCGAGATGATGTTTAACACTTGTTGAAACTTAAAAAATTTACAAATTGAAGTTAAACCGAGATGATGTTTAACACTTGTTGAAACTTAAAGTTTACAAGTTGAAGTTAAACCGAGATGATGTTTGACACTTGTTGAAACTTGAGAAAAGTTTACAAGTTGAAGTTAAACCGAGATAATGTTTAACAGTTGTTGAAACTTGAGAAAAGTTTACAAGTTGAAGTTAAACCGAGATGATGTTTAACACTTGTTGAAATTCTGAGAGAGTTTATAAGTTGAAGTTAAACCGAGATCATGTTTAAACACTTGTTGAAATTTTGAGAGAATTTACAAGTTGAAGTTAAACTGAGATCATGTTTAACACTTGTTGAAATTCTGAGAGAATTTACAAGTTGAAGTTAAACCGAAATTATGTTTAACACTTGTTGAAATTCTGAGAGAATTTACAAGTTGAAGTTAAACCGAAATTATGTTTAACACTTGTTGAAATTCTGAGAGAATTTACAAGTTGAAGTTAAACCGAAATTATGTTTAACACTTGTTGAAATTCTGAGAGAATTTACAAGTAAAAGCAACACTTGTGAAAATATTTGTTACAATGTTTTCAAGTGTTAAACCGAGACCGAGATAAGCAAGGTTGGAAGTTTTGTCCGAGGCATGTTAACCTGGGGACATTACACAGTTAAGGTGTATGTTGAAGACATGCAAATTGTATTCTAAGTATGGAATCATACAAGGCATTAAGAAGAGGGAAAACATTCAAAACACTTGAAAGAAAAAGTTAAAAAATGCAGATAAGGAAAGAAGGCACTTCGGCCTGACATTGAAGAATAACAATCCCGCTACATACACCCAGTGACGTGGCGACCCCCAGTGACGTGGTGATGAGGTGGCAGCTAATGTGTAAACACAGCTGGAAAAAAAAAAAAAAAAAAAAAGGAAAAAGCGGGAATTTTTGTCTTCCCTCGTCTTCCCTCGTATGTCCTCAACTCTTGCCGCCATCCTTGTCTATCCTCGTCTGTCTTCCCCCGCCTATCCTCACCTCTCGCCGCCATCCTCCTCCTCCACTATAGCTCGCCGGGAATTTCTGCAAAAACTAGTGGCTAGTCTTTCTCCAGAAGGATTGAAATTCTCCATATGGGTTGTGGAAGTGGGTCTCAGATGTTAACTCATTTCTTCAGAAGAATGTGTGTATAGTTAAAAAGAACCATTTATACAGATTGACAAAGACTCCTGCAACTGTAAATTTGAACATAGAGTTGGCTACAGACAACAACTAAATCACCCAATTTTTTACTCTTTATAAAGGTTGGGGTTGCTTGTGGATCGGGTTAGGTCGGGTAGCCTCTCATTTACTATCTGTCTGAATTTAGACGGATTGAAAAAAATCAATCCGCTTCTATTTCTTAGTTAGCGGGTACGGATTGAACGTGCTATGCAGGCTTGCAGATGAATGCAGATTAATTTGACAGTTTGAGCTTCACTGTTTTGGGCTTATTTTCAAACTATTTTTCAATAATTTTTTATTATTTTGGGCTCAAATTTTTTATTCCTCATTTTTTATAATAAAAATAAAAGCTCAATTTTTATATTTCATAAATAGCAAATATAATTACTATATAAAATGTCATTTTTTTGACACACAAAATAACATCATTTTCTTGGTGGTGTTAGCGGGGTCGGTTTAGGTCAGGTGGCATCTCATCTGTCATTCATCCAAACTTTGACGGATTGGAAAAAATATATCTACATCAATCTACTCAAACCATTGAAACCATCCAGTCTATGGTAGATTGGTTCGGGCCATTCGATTTTAACGAGTCGGATGGATGTTTGCCCTAACCCTAATAAAGGTTATCAAGGTCTTCAAGATCTTTCAAAAAGTCAATTTATTCTTTCTATTTTTTATACATCTTTTTATTTAAAAAAAAATTAAAAAATTACAAGCCGATTCCCAAACCATCCCTTACTCTCGTGTAGTAAATTTTGAATGCTAGTAGTAGTGATTTGTAAATTTCAGTTATATTTGTTTGGAGAACTAGACTGATGAGGATAAGAGGGATAAGTTATCTTGAGGAGATTATGTACACTGAGATTCTATTTATAAAATAAAATTATTTTAAAATTGTCTTATTTATTTATAGTTTGTTTTTTTAATTATATGGGATTTTAAGGCCTATTTTATAAGGTGGGCTGTTGGGGACGAAAAGGTCGGAGAAGATAATAGTCTTGTCTTTAATGCCATGCAATGAACACGTGTCTCTCTCTATCTGTTAGCTCCCACTGTTTATCCACTAGTTTGATTGGTGTTTGTCCACTCATTTTCAGACCCACAGAACTCATATCCTCGGATTGATAGAATAGCCAAAAAGTCAAAACTACCCACCAATCCTAACGGTCTGATCAATCTCTCTTTGAATGATCTTGGAAAGGCACTTGCGTAGGATATCCTCTCATTATGATTTGATTAAAGAGAGAGTTC